CACTCAACCGACCCCATCACATCCTAAGCAAAGCAAACCAGAGTTCAATTCAAGTAAAAGCCAGGAAAAGTTCCAAGTTAAAATGCTGAGAACTTGTAATGATTCCTTCAATTCAAAAGGTTTCACACAGCTCCAGCAAAGCCTAGGCCTGGGAAGGGTGTCCTGACAAAACAGAATCAAATGCGGGTTTTTCCTTCAGGGAAAAAGAAAATAATCAATTGCTTTCATTTATAGCATGTTTAGTTGTAACAAGTCTCAGTAACTGCAATCTGAACTATCAGAAAAGGGAGGAAAACATTCCGGCCCCGTGTTCAGAGGCATGGGAGTGCTTGGTTAGATGGCTGAGTCAAATGTTAACAGTCCTCCACTGCCAGTTAGGAGGGATCACTGTGCCTCTATCCAAATGCTCTCAACTGGTGCACAAGGGCTGCTCTCTGTAATGTCCCCCAGTCTCGTTTTGCATGTAGAAACCTAACTTAACTTTTCCAGGGCAGTCAGGCACAAAGAGGCATGATTTGTAATATCGGATAGATAGCAGAGGAGCTTCCCAAAGAAGGTATTCAACAATTTCCTCCTCTCTGTGCCTGGGGTGTGCGGTGGGGCAGGTGCTCTGGGAGCAGAGCCACAAGATACCTCAGCCCTGCGATATCTGCCAAAACCCACACATCACCAGCACAAGAACAAAGTGGCTGCTCGCTGCTTCTGCAGGCTGTTACACACCGGCCCTCAGTGTGCAGGCAAGCAACAGTTTCTTATGCTTCATTGAAGATGGCAGCATCCTGGTTGGTACAGGTGGTACAACCAGGGGAAGCTCTGCTTAGGAGAATGCTCACCAGAAAATGTCAGCTAGCAAGGAGGACCATAGCTAAACCAGCTGCTGAAGAATTCATAGAATCATAGAACAGTTAGGGTTGGAAAGGACCTTAAGATCACACAGTTCCAACCCCCCTGCCATGGGCAGGGACACCTCACACTAAACCATCTCACCCAAGGCTTCATCCAGCCTGGCCTTGAACACTGCCAGGGATGGAGCATTCACAGCTTCCCTGGGCAACCCATTCCAGTGCCTCACCACCCTTACAGGAAAGAATTAGTCCTGAGGATCCTGAAAAAACAGCTGACCATGGCCTCTGCAAGCTCAAAACCACGGCGTAGCTGTTCTCTGATGCGAGTTCCCGTTACACACCTCCCAGTCTTTGTTTGTTATTCCTTCACTTATTTACAGAGGGAAGTTACACCGTAACTGTGAGGTCTCTGTTGATGCTGAGTTTTTGTTCTATCATCTACTTAACTGAAGAACACATCAGTCCTCCTTGCTTTAACTGGAGAACATTTTTCTCAGTAGAATCATAGAATAGTTAGGGTTGGAAAGGACCTTAAGATCATCTAGTTCCAACTAATTGCTTAATAAGTTCAAACAGATTTTGTTTAACCAGATGGAGGAAAATCACAGCACGTATCTGGACCCTGGCTCAATGAATTTCCAGCAAAACAAGGCTAAATGCTAAGGTCAAGGGACCTTGCTTTTTTAAAATGTTATTGCTACTTATGTGGTTTAAAGCTTCTCATCCCTTAATCCCTTCAGAAATACCCTCATTATAGCATAGAGTTGGTGTATCTCTTTTTTCCCACTGCAATCTGAAACATCAAATTATGAGTTGGCAGTATTTAGTTATCATATTTGTACGGATTATCCTTATACCATAAAGGTCTCTGGTCCCTCTTGGGTATTGTGAAAAAAACCTAGCTACATGGAGAGATTTGTCTAGGACTGAATGGAATTCAGTTAGGATCATTTATTTCTCCGGTCCTCTTACTGTCTTGCTTGCCAACTGTGCTAAGAAATCACTATCACCAAGTCTGAACACAACCTGCATCCCTGCTTTGGCTGACAGACACTGAACTGACTGGCTCAGGTGTGGCACCATGGGCTTTTCTTAGGCTTCTCCTTGGTTTCATAGCACTGAAATCATCCTTGTGCAAATTGGAGACATTTGACTTGAAGTAAGCAAAGACGCATAGCCATGCAGGAGCACAGTGAGTGAGTGGCACAACAGTTTAGGCTTGGTATGCGACCACAGAGAACTTTGTCATTTTTATGTGATGACTTTATTCCTACTGTTGTCTTCATTATGACATTTGTCTGTAGCTCCTGTTGAAGCACAGTGTGCTCACATAATGAAGAGACATACCCCTGTTTAAAAGTATCCATTAAAAATGAAAGATGGTTATATAATGCACTGGTTATCTCTGCGGGTCGGAACAGATTTAAGCTTCTTTGTAGAAAACTCTGTTCTCTCATCTTAATTCTTTAATGTTCTTAGAGCTGATATCCAACCGCAGCCCAAACACACAGAATAATTATCCAGGATGCTAAGCCTGATCTTTCATCATGACAGCTATCATGCTGCTTTCCATTAAGGAAATGTTAGAGGCTTTTAGCAATATAAATCAGGAGGTGCCTAAATCCCAATCTCTCTGATAATACAGATCCCTGTGATCTTGAACTTGCCTTGGTTTATGCATCACCCACCACCTACATTAGTGTTTCTGCAAGTATCGGTTCTGATTAGTAATGTAGATTGGAAAGTTGATTTACATTTTAACACTTAAAAGATGTTCACTTCTGCTCTGGAAGCAGAAGAAATATTACCTCTACTGACTTAAGGCACTGGATAATATAGCTGTCCGTGCCTTTAGCACAATGATGGCTAGGAATGAAACAGTGGTTGATCACAACACTGATCTATTCACACTGATTCTAATCTGACATAACAACCTGGCTATACATATTACATCCTGAGAGTACAGGGACTGAATGGTAGTCCCTAAGGAGCTAATTCACTTTACTTAGGAAAGAACATATAACTGTACCCAGCTGGCTGGATTTCAGTATTAACTGTGGAACAACTGAAGAGGGTATCTTGCAAAGTACAAGCTTGTGTTGTGACCCAAGAAGTAAAGCACCATAAATACAGCTATTATTACACATCTGATATATAAAGAACTGGAAACTAGTCACTTGGCAGCTGTGAATTCTTATCCAATTGGCGACGCAAACACTTCGTTAAGCTTGCTCGCTTTAGATTAGCCGTTATACAGAGTCACAGTGCCATCTACAGACCACATACGGATTTGAACAGCTTTCAGGTCCTGGAGAACAGAGAAGTCTTTGTTGTCATACTTAACGTTTCACACATTACTCCTTGAGAACACTGCTTTTCACTGAAACAATGCCTTGCTTTGTGGTTATTATGATACAGTTTTGAACACGGGCCTATCATTTGCTTTTATGGGGTTTTTTAAAACCCAATTTTTTCTTTTTTCCCCTGAAACCTGAATATGAGAAAGCAAAGTAGGCTGGGGATTGGTGCAAGCAGGCTTAAACAAAACTAACCTGACAGTCGAATCCTATCCCTGAAGGACTTGCAACCTGAACTGCAGCTGTGATGTTACACACCAGAAGGCATGCAAGGTAATCCTGGTGAACTTCCAAGCCAATGCAGGTGGCATATCCTCTCCCTTGCTGTCTTTAGCAGGGAGGGGGGTAGGAATCAGGTAGGAAGCCCTTTGCATTTCCAGCCTTCGTAGCAGGAGTTGTGTTGGGAAGCCTGTCTGCTCAGTGCTGGCTAACGTGCTCTTTCCAAGCAGGCAGCTTCACAGCTATTACAAGGAGGGGAATGCTGCAGGCACAGTGAAGCGAGTGTCTGGGGAGTGCTGCTTCTGCTCCTCTAAGTAATCTGTGCGGAACAAATGCTTGCCCAAAAACCCTATACCAGAAGGACCAAGGTTAACAATCTGGGATGAGCAATGGAGAGAAGGAACGTGGTTTGGGGTTGGTTTGGGGGGTTTTAGTTAAATCCAAGAGGTTTCATTAATGGCTAGTCGGAATTTCTGAGACCTGTAATGTGTGCAGAGATCTGCCCCTATGAACAACCACCTGTGGCTGTCAGAAAGCTTGGAATTCCAGTGGCCTCAGGGTGAAGAGCCAGCACCAGGAGCTAGGCAACATGGTCATAGGTAGGTCATCCATGGCCATAGTTTGTGTAATTCCATCAGGCATCCAAAATCAGTTTGGTTATGTCTCTGTGGAGAAGATAGAAACATTCAATCCCCAAAAGAGCACTCGGGACCACAGAGGTGCTGTTATTTGTGCTTACACTTCATATTCTCCGTGCTTTGAAGAAGGGGAAGGAAGGTTTGGAGCCCTGGGAGGAATTATAGATTACATAGGGAAGCCCAGCAATTCCACTGTACTAGCAATCCAACATCCAGCTCTTCTCAGTGTCTGTAAAGCTACCTTAAAGTTGAGATGACGATTGTCCCCATCCCTCCCAATTTGTTACTTTACACTAGGTGCTTGAATACATGTGTCGTCTTTTCATACCATGTAAGTTTAACAGCTATTTTTTCTTCCCTTTTCAACAGTATAAATGGAGATGGGGTAACTGCATGATAACAATGACAAAGTGGGTTGAAGGAAAACCACTGGCAGGCAACACTGGGCCTATCTGGACCCTCATGTCTCCCAAAAGTAAGTCTCTACATCTTCCTGAAGAAGTTGCTCTTCTCCTGGCAAAGGGAGACCATGCGGTTTTGTTGCTCCGGGCATGAGCATGTGAAGGTGTTTAGCTATCATATCCTGCTCTCACTCTGTTGGTTTTGTCTCATGAAAGGGTTCTTTCCCTTCTGGAAATGAAGGCAGGACAGTGAGAGGAGCTTGACGACTGCCACAGCCAGCCCAGGATCACCCTTCTCCAGGAAGAGCAATTGTGCATATCTGCATCCCTGGGTTTGCCAGGTGATCACCACGCAGAGTAAGTCTCTACCCTTCCTGAAATGGCTGAGCAAATGTCTGTGTTGGGAGCATTCCAGGATCGTGGAGCCAAAGGAAATCTGTGATAAAGAGCATACCACTGCTTTTTGTTCATGCAGTTGCTGTGCAAGCCCAATGGCAGCCCTGCTCCTCCTGCACTGTCACAGTGATGGCTCTGGAGGAACCGTGCTGAGGTGGGTGTGCAAAACCCTGCTTTGCTGCCTTGTTCCTGTTCTTTCACAGGTAAGAATCTGTTTGGGGTTTCTTTTCACTTTATACAAGAATAGAATTGTTCCATGAAAATGGGACATACTGAAATTGCAGGGCTGGCCTCAGCATCCTGCTGCAGTCCTCAATCCAAGGAATAAAGTCCAAGCAAAAGGGATGCAGTGCAGTTGGGGTTATCAGTCACCACCAGACACTGAGTGCCATGTACCCAATAACTCGACTCTTTCCCATGATGATAAGAAAGAGCCTTCCTTTTTTCTCATTTAACTCAGCTGAGTGAAATGGAAAAAGGGGAAACAAAATGACAGCATGACCCAGTCAAAAGAATTTATGCAAGGGAGCCCTGAGTAAGTATCTTGAGCTCAATCTCAATTACGGATCATGTCCCTTCGTATGCCTTCATAGGGCAAGCCTTAGAATGGCAGTAAAAAACACTCTCTGCCTTTCGATAGATATGTAGAGGGATGTGCATTGCTTAATTATAATGCACTAACATAGGCAGGAGATCTGTTTTGTTGTTTTATACCAGTTACCTTGTTGGTTCCTTCTTAGTTTTTATGCATAATTTAGTCACAGTTCAAAAACAAATAAGTGGCCAAATTCCATAACATTATCCAGAGATACAGTTTCTTTCCCATTATGAAAGGAATCTCTCCTGTGTTTTGGGGGCCTAAAGTTTAGCGGTTGAGTACCTTTCTAAAGCCAAAGTCTACCTGCTGTTTGCCCAATATGAAACGTAAGCACTGAATATTTGCCTGTAAGAAGCTGAGCAAGGTGTTATTTTATGGAAGTTTTTGAGGAAAACTACCGAGCTCCTTTCAGTTTGACAGAGCAATTCGATGTGGCAAATCAGCATGAGACACCTTCTGTATTCTTCAGTAGTCAAGAAATAACTCCACGCTACAACAAAATGCCCAGCATGTAGTAAAGAGCAAGGGCTGTGGAGCAGAGGAGTCAAATTGGGCTCTCTTGGGGAGAGCACAGGAAACCAGATATACCTGATAGTTTGCTGATAGGTCTGTTAAAAATCACTTTTCAGTTTGAGACGAATAATACTCAAATTGGGTAAAACCTGGTTTTGGTGTAAATCCAGATGTTCCGCTCGTATGGTTTTACAATGCTGTTCAAGAGTTGCTGCATGGCGATGGGGACAGGCTCGGACCAGGCAGGTCCTGCTGGGACCAGTGTGTCCTGATGGGCCTCGACTGAAAACAGCCCTGTGGTGCTGGCTGCTCTCCCCTAGGGGCACCCAGGGGCCCTGACAGCCGTGCCAGCCACACCACGTCAGGGCTGCTCTTGGGGCTCTTGCAGTTTGTAACTGGAGAGTTTCTGCAGTGCATTTCCTTTTGCTTGGTCCTTACTCCAGTTAGTGAGCATTTGGGGGATTTTGCATCTATTTTCAGTGGTGTCTTACACTTTTTTTCCTCATAGGTGAGAACCAAGGTTCTTGTGAATTCATACCCAAACAGATGTCTTCTCTACATCACAGAAGTGAGGCAGTGAGCTGCGAGTAGGACAGACTCAACAAAACACACCAGGAAGGGCTTGTCAAGCATACTACCAGCATGTCAGGTTGAAGAGCAAAGAGCTGAGACACTGGGAAACTTGCATGGTAAGATTTATTTTGCTACTTTTTAATGGAGCACATCTATATACATAGATTATAACAGTCTTTATGTGATCACATTTTCTTATCCTTCTCTCCTCTACAGGAGTTAAGTGAGCTTTGCTGATAAACTCCCTAATTTCCAAAGAAAAACTCAAGTTTTCATACTGCTAATTTTCATTCTAGCTTTGTTCTTAATGATTAATTTAAGCAGTGTGGTGGAGTTATTTTTGGAGACACCGAGTCAGAGAATCATTTCACACAGCTTTCATGCTGTGAGATGGAGCATTTGGGTTTGAATATGAATTTGATAGTAGCAACACTAGCAGTGGGAAGCTTTTTCTGCCAAAGGGAGTCAAAATGAAATGGAACTGAGAACTCCATCAGCAAGAGTTAGTCAGGTACAGCTGTGCTGCCATAGTTCAAGTCCTTTCTTCTTCCCCTCTTAATCAAGTGATGGAAAGAGTTCCTGCCTGGCTCAGCAGTTCAAATCCAAGTCTGCTGTAAAAACCTAAGGCCCTTCATAAATGTTGGCCTCTACTAATTTATGTCAAGAGAACAGAGGCTGGCTAACTAACCTGGTGATCTAGAAGAGCTAATTTTGGCTCAAGAGCTACATTCAAATCTGGTTTCTTAAATCTCAGTCTAATTCTTTGCAAAATAATGAAAACTAGTAGAAGACCAGCTAGGGGTTAGGGGGAATGTTTCTCACAGAGACAAGGGGGTGCCTTCACAGGTTAATAGTAAGCTGCCAACATGATGCTCTTAGGCTCAGTAGAAGAGGTGGGCATCCTCACAAGGACACCCCAGTCAGAGTCTGGTCAAATAGTAAGACAAAAACTACCAAAGACAGTTTTAGAGGGGAGTTACATTTGATGTAGCACGCAGCAGAAATATATAGATGTGATTAAGGGTAAGTGGGGTTTGTCATCTCTCACAGCTTTATTTGCACATTTCTTAATAGAAAGGCAGAATTTTGGGGATATTGTGAACTGACTTCTTACTGCATTTCATTAATTATGTGGTATTTGAGACCAGTGCTGTCACAGGAGCTGAATTATCAGGGTGTATAACGGTTTACGTGCATCATGACTGTTAAACAGGGGTAGGGAGCTGCTTCTGTGGAAACAAATGTGCTTTCTATGTCTTGAAGACAGTGTTATCACAGTAGTGTAGGCCTGTTACAAGAATGTCGAAGTGTTCTGCTCCCAAAGATCTATGCCATTTAGGATGGATTGAATGAACTTCAAGTAAATCATTTTCCTGGCGGAACTGGTGTTTCACTGAGGCCTACAGCTGGATTTCGGTGGCATCTAGCACCTGGAATGTGTTTCCAGTCAGCCTGAATTGTTCCTCTGCATCTGCACAGTAGCTAAAGAGTCCAATGCCAGTGGGATTCCACACCCCTCAAGCATCTCTTCCCCCTGGCTGATCAAAGTCTTTCAGGAGGCGCCAAGGTCTCTTTGAGGGGCCACTTTACGCCACCAGTTTCTTCAGTTTAAAAACGCTGAAAACACTTCTGAAAGCAAGGGAACCATTTTTTTTGTTCGGTTTTCAGGTTTTAGATCATTTTTTTCCCCAAGCAGTGTATTAATTTAAATACAAAATTGGAACTCCTATAAGCCCAAGGAGTGATCAAATACAGATCAGACATCCCTGACAACAGGGCTGCTGGTGAGAAGGAAAATGTTATTTTGGGACTTTTATCTTGCAAGTCAATTTTTTTAGGCAAATCCTAGGCAATTTCAAGACCAAACCCCACTATTACACATACTCATGTATTTTATAACCTTTTGTAATTGTTTGCTTCTATGAATTTTTAATCCTGTTTTTAGCACAGAGAAGTTTACATTTGGAAGGCTCGTTTTCAATTTACCTGTATTTATAAAAGCAGACACTATGTTGAGAGGGTTACAAATCATTCTTTTCCTCTTAGGTTCACATTTGATTAGAAAGCTAACAGCACAGCTCTGGAGCCTTGGGGAATTGTTCTGGCACTGCGCCGACAGCTCTAGCAGCAATCAGTGAGTAATAGACACGCAAAGTTTCTTCCTGCATTTACATAATGCTTTTTCTTTTAGTCTAAAGTAAATCTTGCCGTCAACAAGTATCAAACCCCCTTTTCACCCAGGTACAATATGCTGCAAAAGTACAAACGGGTGTAGATATTATGCTACAGTTGTGATTCTTTCACAATTAAGCCTCTTTTGTTACTGTAACTGTACTTGTGCAAAACCCTCTGTTGGTTCCATTTGTATAGTAAGCCAAAGTATTGTAACTGCCTAGTGACACAGCTCAATGAGAACTCGAATTTTCAGGAAGGAGACTTAGCTAGTACTTGGGTTGCTTCCTGTTTTCTTATCTTGTCTATCTTGTTACATGGTCAGAACACAAATGACCCTTCAGCTTCCTATTTTATGCACTATAGTTTTCACGCACACCGGCTTTGCTTTTAGCTGCTTTTGATGACAGCTTTCAGTCGAACCCTGATCTCCCACACCCTCCTCAGTTATTCACTGAACACTTAACCCTCAGTACTGTCAAGCAACCCAGGTCTTCCTCCAAAGGGCACGCTTGAGAGCTTTGCCGTGCTACAGCTGCAGCAAGGACAGGTTATAGAACCAGAGCTCCAGATGTGCATGCTAATATGAGGTGTCGCAATGAAAAGGCCCCACAAAGTCCCTTAACAGGAGGCAAAACTGAAACTGGGTAAAGGTAGCAGTATGGCAGATACACGGTCAACCAGGGCTTGGCCCTGCTGCCAAAACGTTGCAGGTCTTCTGTAACAGCGAGAGTAACTAACCTGCTCTTCTAATCGAAAGGTTTCATTCTCTTTGAGGCAGGAGGCTATCCTAGGAACTGTGACCTCCTGCAGTGGATGAGGAGGAAAAAAACCAACCTGATCCTACTTTGGAGCAGAGTAAAATGATTTTAAGATCAGATTCACAACAGCAACAGTTTGGATTAGTGTAGCTAGGATATGCCTGGTAATTCCCAGAGGCTCAGCCTGGTGTGACTGGCTCAACATCTCAAGCCCCACTGTCTCGGGGCATCACTGCCATTCTGCCTTCCCAGGCCTCTTATCAGAAGGTGAACGGAACTTGGAGCAGTTCTTGGTCTTTTTTTGCCTCTGCAGTGAAAAGCCCCTATTGTCACAAACCATCCACAGCGTGAATCTGAGTGGGTTCAAACTCTGTCACTGCTACAAACGTAGCCAACATGAGAACAAGCTGTAGGTGAGAAACAAGACCAAGCTCGCCTGCTGTGGTTTTCACCAGGCAGGTTTACAGCCGCTTGCAGGAAAGGGCTTCTTTGCACTGACTAGAAGCCCTATCTCTATTCCAGATGCACAAATGTTATTATGCCATGCAGTATCCCTGCATGGGATAATTCACCGAGAAAGACTCTGCTCCTAGCTGTCATGTAGGCAGCAACCCTGCTAGTTCTCTTCTATTCAAACAAGAGCTTCCCTTAACATCAGGCAGTCTAGAAGTCTCTATCAGTGAACAGTGGTGAGGAAATCCAGTGTTGCTGCCTCTCTCCATCTCCCTGGCCTATAAACTGAAATATACACAGATTTCATTGCAGTTAATACCACCACCTCCTATTTCTGACCACTCCTCAGACGCAGGCTGGGTACGCAGGTTTCTGAAAGCCAAAAATACTCCCTAAATTTGTTAAGCCAGAAATACTTGTTAGGAAATGCTTGCTCAGAGTTTACAGCTAAAACTGGCCCACAGAGATACACTGTTATGTGATCCCAGCATACATGGTGAAGATTTGATACTGAGTGGTACAAGTCATGGTGAAGCGCATGGCACAGCTTTGTGGTGGTTGAAAGGGACATCTCCCAGAGCCTTCCAGGTATTTACACAGGTATGCCAGGCTGCAATCTGCAAGTCCTGTTTTGTCTTTGCCAGAGCCTTGCGTTTTTGCCCTGAACTAGCCCATAGTGCCAGAGCAAAGCATATATATGTAAATATATGTATGCATGCAAGACACAACGTGGAGTTCCTGTGCCTGGCCACCAAATTCATGTTTGTGGTTTAGTGACAGACCAGACCATATTTACAGCCTCTTTCTTGATTCTCTATCCATTTTGTCTTGCTCCTTGTTCTGTTTCTTCCAGTCCCCCCCAGTTGTTGCTCCTGCTGCCCCACACAGAATACCCTCTTCATGCTTTGCTTGCCACTGGCATGGTTTCACCAGAGACCCTGCTCCCTGCTTCCCCATGCTTGATGCCCTTTGCCTGGGTCTCAGTATCATCTCAAACTTCACCATATCTTTCTTTCCCAGAGCTAGTTCCAAGTTAGTGAAGAGCACTGATGAAACAGAAGCCTGCTGACTTAAGGACTGGTGCCAACACTGCAGCTGCCGTTGAAAGGAAAAGGCCAGGCAAAACCAAACCTGGTGTTGCCTGAGGAGGAAGGGGGTCAACGCTATGGATGGTGACTGCTGCAGAAAGGAGCCCCCAACCCCCATTTCTGCTCAAGCACTTTCTCCCTCTCTAGGATTTTTTGCCATCAGAGGAGCACTCTACTGAGCAATCAGTGGGCAGAATGTTGCTGCTCTCTCCCTTAAAGTAACTTCTACTTTCAGACCTGCAAGATCTACTGAAATTACTGTCTTCTGTTTCAGCAACTGCCTAATGAGGTCTTTAGGGAAAACTGTGAAGAACGTGTAGTTATTACCTTCCTGAAAGAGGAATTTGAAGTTGTTGCCTATCTGCTTTACTTTCCAGGCAGAGGAGAGAGAACCTGCCTGAAGCAGGGCAGCACTGGGGCTGAGCAGCTGCTGCTCCTCCTGCTTTGCAGGGCTGGGCTTCTGGAAGAGTCATTCACATCACAATACCTCATGGAAATCTTTTGTTCATAAGATGAGTAGACAAAACCCACAGTTTTAACCTGTAGGAAAATAAAGGTGTGTTCGATAACAAGAAGAACCTTTGCCACATGCCTCTAAGAACACTTGCATGGTGAGAGAGGAATATTTCCCCCCACTCTTACTATCCCCTTGGGGATGGGGACTTGTTTTATTGGCAGCCTGTGGTCATTGCAGTACAGACCTCAGCTTTACCTTCACTCTGTAGTTGCCATTTCTAGACTTTTCTCTTAGGGGAGCCTTTTTTTCTAGCTCTCTAAATGTCTTTGACACAAAGATAAACCTTTTTGCTTTATACCTGAACTAAGATGCCATCTGGAAATGCTCTTAGTGTCATCCGTGATTAACTTTTGCAGTTAAACATGCTAATAATATAAGATTTTCGTATGTATAAAGTTGTCAGACTAACAAACATGAAAGTCACAGCTGCGCGTACAATATTGCTGCTCTTGCCTGCTAGTGTTGTGTCAGTATTTAGCTGACTCTGTGGTCAGGATGCCAGTGCTCACTGTATCTCACACTTTGTTTCTCTACTAAAATCCTTCTGCTGTTCTACAGCTTATTTTGGTCACCTCTGTTTAAACCTCTGCATGAACAGAGGATTGCCAAGGCTTTCCTGGAGCTTTCCATGGCTTCCTGACTGAGATGATCAGGGGACAACAAACACTCATTTTCTTTTCTCAAATTCACTTAGTAATTGTGAACAAAAAGGACGAGAGTTCCTACAGTTAACTTCTCCCTTCCCTATACAGTCCTGAGTTATTCCTGTAGCATAGTCCAAGGTATGGCTTTAGTGAGGTATATGACACACAGACGAAATAAGTGTCATAAGACATCACTCCTACCATCACACCTAATCCTTTATCCTACTTCCTTTGCACAAAGGGAGGAGAACTGAGATTTTGCCAGCAGCGTGCTGTAGCTTGGCCATAACCTAACTGTTGAGTACTTCGCAAGGTTCTTGGAGTGTTGTGGAATGGGGGAGGATTTGTGAAAAAGAAGCAGGAAATATCACAATGTCATTTTTGGGCATTCCCTTGTCTTCTGTGTGGATCATCAGTAAGGTGGTTCCTGGAACTGCACTGCACGGGGACAATGTCACCAGTACTAATGGAGTACGTGGCAGCAGTGGTGCCAGATCTTGAACAGAAGTGATGGGGTCATTGCCTCTGGGCACAGCTTGGCAGCAGGGAAATCATGACATATCATGATACAGCTTCATAGCTCATAAAGAGGTGGCCCTAGGTGGGAGAGCTGGGAGGTGAATGTGCAAATAGCATGTTTTGAAATGAGGAAGATTCTTGCCAGTGCCAGCACTTGTGTATCTGGGCTCCATTTTGACCTCAAGGATGGGCTGTATTGCAGGGGCCGTATTTCTCCTCTGAGGATTCTCTCTCTCCTGCCATTCTTGCCCTCTGAACCACTGCTTCCCCCACATCTTTATGTCCTCTTTCAATTTGCTTTCCCTTACAAACACTGCTCAGCCTGGTCCTTGCCTCCTGCTTCTCCAGGTATGTGTGCTCCTCCCCTGGTCCATGGCTTCCACCAGGGAATTTACAAAATGCCTGGGAGAACATGTTCCATGGAGCTGGGCAGCATTTCCTCCCTCAGGGAGCAGCAGTTCTACATGTGGCTGTATCCTGTCCTTTTTGGCTTTGAGCCACTTTAAACCTAAAAGTTAACTTAAAAATATAAATCTACTTCTTAAAAATATACGTATGTGTCAGTTTAGCTATTACACGGGTTAGAAACGTGATAGACAACTCAAACATCTGCTGATATAATGTGACAAAAGACTCTTCCCTTCTCATGTGGACTGTGACCAGTGCACACAAACGATTTCCCATTTCCTGCATTCACTGCATTCGTGATCTGTAAGCTCAGGCCAGTAACAGATTTTGCTGGTCAGTGATAACAACATAGATGAACTCACGTATGTACCTCAAATGCTGGCTGCCTGCAGTCAGCTGCTTTTAGACTAAGGCTTCTTTTAATGCCAGGCTCCTGACTTTCTCTGGAGTTGCTTTGGAAGGCAAGAGATCTTGTTTTCTTTTGACCATGGAGCTCTCATTTTTTCATGGAAAGATAACAAGAAGAACCTGTGAAGAACTGATGAGCAAGAAGGGAAAGAATGGTAGCTACTTAGTACGAGAGAGTGAAAGCATGGAGGGAGTCTTGTGTCTCTGTGTTTTGTAAGTACTCTAATATTGTTTTTTTCATGACTTTTCAGATAGATCCAAAGACAAGTGTTCACCTTCTCTAACATTAATAGTATTAAGAGAATATATGCTTCAAAGGAATTTTATCTGATGTAAGAGCACAAGCTGAGACAGAAAGTTATAATGCCCTGTTCAAACTCATATGACAGGTCCATGAACAAGATGGGCATAGAAAATAAATACCTACTTCTAGTCCCTAACTTTAATCAAGACAATTGAAATGCTGTTATTCCCTTTTCCCACAGGGAATAGCACTTTGATTTCCCTTTCAAGAAGCTTTTCTTACACTATTGATACATAATCGATCTGTTCCTAATGTGTTAAAAGTTAATAAATCAGACTGAGTGGTTTTGTTGTTTGACCCTATGAGGTTTTACACTCTTCTTGAGGGTTTGAGTATGACATGAAAAATTGCTAACATCCCATCTAATTAATTTGAAAATACAAGAAAATGTTTTCTCAAGAACCAGAAATGCATTTCTTTTGAAACAAATCAAAGGGGAAGGGAAAATGTGAGAGGGAAATGGAGCGCTATGGGGTTGGTGGGCAGAAGAAATGAGGTCCATGAACTGACAGAATAAGAAGAGAAATGACAAGCTGGGGGCAAACAGAACCTTTGGGAGGGAGTTGGGGGCTTCCACTATGGTGTAGAAGCAGACAATGTAGGGGGTGCAGAGGGGGCAAGGAGCATTGGAGGGAAAGGGCATGCATCCCATGCCAGAAGGGACAAACGGGAATCCTGGCACAGAGGAACATTTGCAATATTAGTCCCTGACATGGGAGGATGGCTGTTGAGGTCTCATGCAGTAGGGGAAGATGAGACAGTGAAGGATACTTAGGTGTGTGCGATGAGTTACAACAGAGGGCACATCTATAGAGTACATTGTGGGTAGATGCAAGCTGACATAAAGCTTAAGCTTGGTGCCACACAAGTTGCTTTCTTTTTCTCATGGATATGGAAAAGCATGTGACTTCCAGCCTCTGTGGGGATTTAGTGTTAAAACCCGACAGCTCAATTCATGTAGCTACAGCTGAAGTCCTGAGGAACGTGTGTACCAGTAAAAAGAACTTGGTTTCGGATACTTTTTCCCCCTGCTTATTTGTGATGTATATTTCTTTGCAACTTCACTGCCTTTTTTGATCATGGTCATGATCTCCAGTTCATCTTCTGAATAGCTGCCATTGACATAGTTGATAAAGCTTTTTACTTCTGTTAACAAAATATATCCAAAGCCATCAGTAGCCTGAGTCTTCCAACACCTGCGTGTTATTAAAAATAAGTAAAACCCAGGGAAATGCAAAGGAAGAGTAATTTTCCTACAAGTAGGACCTCTGCATCCATTTTCTGGATGCTGGTGACCGGAGGCCATTTTCTGCTACCATCTCTTCAAGAATTCAACAGCCTTCTTGTTATCAACCTGTAAAATGAAGTCTAGGGAGGTATCACACAAGAGGAAGGTTAAGAAGATAGATGAGAGGATGGGATATCTGTGGAATAAAATTGCTCCTGTATAAAGATCTCTGTTAGATTTAGTTCATAAGTTCCTCAAAGCCTCTGGTAAGAGTAACTTTATATTTCAAGATATGAAATGTTATCTCATTTTGCAAACTCTAGGCTCCCTTCAGTTTTGCTTTTCTATCTCATTCAGTTTTACTGCAAACTTCTCATGTCTTTAATACTACCTGCTGTTTGCAGGCATTTCTAATATCAGCTTGGTTAACAATGTGGTGTCCCTTCCTTCCTCCACAGCATCTATTTCGGCAGCAGAGGTCAGAGACTCAGCCCACTGTCAAGTCCCTAATATCATATATGCTCTTTAGTATATGTCCAGTACCATATACATCTCCAGCTATACTCTGCTCAAATCGAACATGTTCTAGGTTGAAGGAGCCTGGTATGTGATCCCACCTGGAATACACGAAGGCTCAGACAGCTGAAGGGGTTACTGTGTGGGGCAGCACGGGCAAACTAACAGTTTGAATTTACAGTGCCACAATTACCTAAGGGCTCCCACAAGGAAAGCAGGTTACATGAAAAACAATTGTGCAGCTTCACTCGTGTGTATTCCATGGCACCCTCCTCACCTGAGGAAGAGCACCTCACTTTTGGGTTTGTAGCTAAGGAGATCTCTGTTATAGCTCTTGTGTCTTTATGCTATTGCAGTTTTCTTTCAGATACAAGCAAAACCAAAAGCTGGCTGCCAGGATAAGCTGTAGCAGACTAAGCAAGTTGCAGTGGTCTAAGAGTTGATAAAAAGCATAATGCATGCAACAATGTTTTTTCACAGGTTTGAAAAATGCATCTACACTTACCGTATCTTCAGGGCACAGCAAGGATACTTTAAAATACAGGTGAGTAACTCTTATGTTGTTTGTAAAGACTGCACTAAATGGGATTTTCTTGATTTAAAGAATCAGGATACATGAACACATTTACCTTAGCAAGTTTTCTCAAGTTTGCTTTCTTCTCTATTCAATTCTTGACTTTTTAATGTTATGCTCATGATTGCATACAAGCCTAGAAGTAGAATTCCCTTACAATCTAAGTGGATCTGTTACTTGTTGACCAGCTGCTTTCTGATTTGACCATTTCTTTTTGATAGCATTGAAGAAAAATCTATCACTTTTGGTTCTTCCTCCTGTACATAATTAGCTTTTGCTATTTGAAAACGCTGCCACTGCACCCAGCATCTTACACGGATTTGGAATATTGCAATGATCTTTTTGATTTAGAGGGACCTATCTGTAATTCTGTGTGATGCTGAGACTCCTGAAGGGATGACCACAGAAAATGCCACTCAAATGCGTAAGAGCAGGCTGCATCCATCAATTCCCTTGGCATGGTGAGAGAACACTTAAAAAGCTGGCTTACTCCTCGGCTTGTAGTAGGACAGCCAAGAGGAGTGCCAACAATTAAGCAGCATTTAAGTGGAATGAAGAACTCTCTCCATAAAGGATACACCAAGCTCTCATATGCTGGTAATTTCTTGCTTATTAGTGGTTTTGACTGAGTATGAAAGACACAATTTCCTATGAAGAATAGGCTTTGTCAACAAACAGATCTATTTGGACTGTAGCCACTCTGCTGCAGTTTGCTGTCATGCCTATCAGCAGATTAATAACTCAAACACTTCCAGTGTTTTCAACCCAAATTTTCCTGACAAGCTTTTACAAAGAATGTGAAAGAAGAGTTCTGTTCTTCAAGTTCTTAAGTCAGATTGGTTCACCTTACTAACACCATAGACCGAAATAATGTATTGATGGTGAAGGGGATATTGGTTGGGTTTTTAAAGGGTCAGATTCAGCTGTAAACTTCCTAGAGTATGGTGGTTTGAGCTGATCAGCAGCTAAGCACCCACACAGCTGCTTGCTCCCTCCCCAGCAGGACAGGGTGCGAGGAAGAGAACTCGAACAGCAAAGGTGAGGAAACTCCTTAAAGGTGAGGATCAAGATAAAAGACAGTTTTAATTGGTGAAGCAAAGTTGTGCATACAAACAAAGCAGAGGAGGAGTTTAGTCACTACTTCCTATGGGGAGCCAGATGTTTAGCCACCTCCTGGAAAGCCTCAGCATGCATAATGGTTACTTAGAAGACAAATGCCATAACCGCAAACATCCACACTTTTCCTAAGCCAAGTCTCTGCACGGATCACTGCAGGGCTGTGCTGCGGAAGCAGTTCAGTCCAGCTCTGTGAACCCACACATCCAAAAGCAGCTTGCGAGAACACTGTTCCCCCGCTCAGGAGTGCCACCCTTTGTGTTTGGCCTCAGGAGTCTGCAATGCAAGTATCAAAGCCAGACAGATAATAAATTACTGCCTAAAAGTGAAAGCTGGTGCCACGGCTTTTGCACGCTTCCTTTGCTTGACAATGCTGATGTTTTGTGAAATGTTTGGACATTCTTCTGCTTGCCAAATAGTTGTTTAAATACAATGTTATTTTAAGGGAGAACTAAATATGTTGCCCCTGAACCTGTGTTCTGAGACCAGAGAGGAGCCTGTAATGCCATCATTCGTTGGCACTGCTGTAGTAGGTTGCTGCAGCACACACTGGAGACAGTATTTTAAACTGATCTTTGTTTCCATAAAATAAGAAAAAAGATGGTGAGGGATTAGACACTTAGTGCCCTACATTAATAGGTGTTCCTAGTGTTTAAAGGACAGTGCAACATTCTGTCCCCAAATCGATGTGCAAAACAGCCCTTGGTAAACCAGAAACAACCTATCTTTGCTTTCACTTAGGTGTCTCCATGTGAAAGGGCACTTGCAAACAAGCTTTATTTTCCCTCTGCAGACTTCTGAAGGTGTACCAGAGAAGGTCTTCAGAACATTAAAGGATCTCATATACAATTATGAAAAGCCAAATCAAGGCCTAGTAATAAACCTCCGCTACCCAGTGAAGAAACTAGAGGCCTCGCGCAGAAGCCAGAGGTTCAATTCAGGAAAGGATGTAGTTTATGATGGTGAGAAATTTAGCTCTGCCTTTTTTGTTGTTGTTTTGGGGGCGGGTTTGGTTTGTTTGGGGGGTTTTATTTAAGCCTTCCAGTATCTGAAGGGGGGCTATAAGGATGCTGTGGAGGGACTCTTCATTAGGGACTGTAGTGATAGGACAAGGGGTAATGGGTTCAAACTTAAACAGGGGAAGTTTAGATTGGATATAAGGGAAAAGTTCTTCCCTGTTAGGGTGGTGAGGCACTGGAATGGGTTGCCCAGGGAAGTTGTGAATGCTCCATCCCTGGCAGTGTTCAAGGCCAGGTTGGACAGAGCCTTGGGTGGCATGGTTTAGTGTGAGGTGTTCCTGCCCATGGCAGGGGGGTTGGAACTGGATGATCTTAAGGTCCTTTCCAACCCTAACTATTCTATGATTCTAAGATGATTCCATTGACAGGTTTGGAGTGAATAGTTGTAAAGTGTCCTCTGAGACCAGCTTTCATGGACAGAGAAGTTCAACATCCTTCCTCCTCACGTTCCCTGAAAAACATTTATTCCTAGCTTACAAGGGATCCCTGGTTACCCTCATTCCAAGGACCCAATTGCAATCATGTCTTTCATTTCACTGCTGTACAGAGATCGATGAGAGCGATTACATCACGGTCTTACCCTGACGGATCTTCGACCCAGCAGTTCTGTAAGCTGTTGTTCCAGGCTGCGCTGCAGCACAGGGGATCAGCTGAGGAGAGCTCCAGACTGGGCATTCTCCACTGTGGATCCACACCTCTCGAGTTAATCTCCTCCTTTGCAGACTGTCAGAGCAGGCACAGCTGTGTTTTTCTCCAGCAGGTCCAGTACAAGCTATTTTTGTTCAGCAATAAAAGAATTAATAAGAGACACATGTTGGGGAAGGGTATCTGTGCGCATGGACGTGTACTTTGGCTTTTGAGTTAGCAAACTGTCCAAGATGTCTGTTGCCAAAATGAACAATCCATCAGGAAGCAGCAATATAAATGCAACACACAAATGTGCATAAAGCAGAAGTGATACGTGTGGATAAAAAAAACATACATGTCAAATACTCTCTTGGCACCATATTGATACACGGCTAGACTCCACAAGTCGTTGAAGTTGTAAAGTAGGTATGCTTTTACTCAGCGCTGAGGCGCATGGGGGATCGCTCCTCCAAAAACACGCACGCCTTTCCTTTGCCACTCACTTTGTTTATATTACATATAAAGATTCCATAAACATGAGATTGCTTCACGCCTCATACATATGCAAAACCTATTCCCGTCTAGTATTATAATTAGTTTTCTGGCATTTGTCCCATTGGTGCGCCTGCACAGTGCCTCCTGGTGGTGGTCGTTAGGGGGTCGTGAGGATGAAGGCTTGTAGTTCCTCTTCATCACCACGAGTAACCTCTTGCTTTCACACAGACTCAATGGGGTTTCAGCTCCTGTGCAAACCTCAGGTTCGGTACAAGCTGGTTTTATGTATCTTAAAGCAGAAACTTATCAGGTTTGCAAGTTTTGTTGCTCTGCTTATCTTTTATTCCTTTTCTTTCTCTGGATCCTATTTAAACAAGAATGTCTTCGATGTTAAGTTATGAATCTTATCTACCACAATTCTGCCTTGCAGCTGTTAACTCCTACAATTCTGCTTCACCGTTCTAGCAACTTTGACTCCTATGGTTGTGCTTCACCAAGCACAATGACTGCTGAAGCAAGCAGGCACAACGTTTATTCCCTGCTATCAATATGATGCTTAAAACCCCCTCACGTCTCTTATTTTGTGCATGACTCATGTTACCACACTGTTGGACAAGTGGGTAGTATTGAAGTGTCAGGGAATACCGCTGTTATCCTGTACTTGAAACAAACAAAATTAAAGCCAAAAGGCCACATTGAATCCCTGCCGTGAAGAATCAGCGACATCAAAATGGTCTGAAGTACTTCTGATGTTGATGAACTGTGGTAGATTGCAAGAGGGGCGGCCGTTCTACACGCCTGTCCGCATGAAGACGTTGGTTTATTCACCAGGCACTGTACACACGAGCATCCCTACCACAGTACAGAAGCTACCGCCATTACCTCTGGGCGGCGCTCCCCGTCTCCCTCCCCGCCCGGAAGCAAGATGGCAGACGCCGCGTCCTCCCGTCATGCCCCGCGGGCCCGGCGGCCTCGCCCATTCCGTGGGTGGTGCCATCAAAATGGCGGCGGCGGCGGGAAATACGAGTTGCGTTGGTCGCTTGCGCCGCTGAGAGCGGAGCTGAGGCGCCATGGATGCTTCAGGCTGCATGAAGTCCCTGCTCCTGGCAGCCACGCAGTATCGGGCTGCCAAGACGGCTCCCAACGCGGCGCTCCTGCAGCGGAGCCTGGAGGTGAGGGCGGTGCTGGTCGGGGGCCGCGGTTGGAGCGGACCGGCGGGGGGTGGGTGTGTGTGTGTGTGTGTGTGTGTGTGTGTGTGTGTGTGTGAGAGATGGTGCGGACGGGAGTATGGCGGTGGCTGTGGTGTCTCTTAGGTTATGGGGGCTGTTTCGCTCTTCTCGGCTCCCGGCCTCGCTGGTCGGCCGCAGCCCGGGCTCCGGAGCTGCCGGGGCCTTGGCCGGCTTGTGGCGGCCGCTGCCTGCGGGCGCCGGTGCTTAGCGTGTGGAGAAAGGGAAGCTCCGTGCCATTGTGAGGGGAGCTGGTGGCCGGGGGAGGCCGTCGGACAGAGGAGCCGGTTCGGTTTCTAGCAGTGTTCCTGGGCCGTTGCTGTGTTATTTTTTATAGCGTTTTGGAGTGGTTTTGTTTGTGTCAGGATGCTTACATGGGCATGAGCTAAGCGTATAGCAGGCCTAATGAGTGACTTTCCTCCCGCCATCCCCTGTTGCTGACTCCCGAGGATCATTTATTTTCACACCTTAAAAAACGAGTTTGAAGGATGTCTTGTATCCGGGGTTTGCTGGTTTAACGGAGCATGTGCTCAAAAGTGTTTGTTGCTCAGGGGAGACCTGTCCATTTCCCGGACCTCCAGGTAGAGCCTTGCATGCAACCTTGCAGTGGGCACGCTTGGTATGGTGAGACATTGGCACACTGACTGAGTTGCTTAATCTGCAAGGTGTCTTTGTCAAATATAGACTTATTTGTTTAATTGCTAAAGCGCAACTGTAAGAGTTAGTGTTCAGCCTAGATTTCTTCTTTGTATCTGTTTAAGAGATTTACACATGGGATATGCAAGAACAATATTACTGTTATTATTATTATTATTATCAATTACCTGATGTGCAGGGATATAATTTTCAGCATCTTCTTATATAGGCTTCCTTGAACTGCTGTTTTTTTGTCTCGAGCACTGAGTGGTCCCAAAGCAGCACTGCCTGTTACTGCTTATCCTTCCTGCTGAGCAGCACCTTTGGGTTCCTGTCTGCATCATTAGAAAGCAGGCTGTTGGGCTGAGCTGAGGGCTGGTTACAAAATGTCTGCAATCTGTTTGGTTGTTCTTTCAAAACAAATAATCCCTGTATTCTATCTATGCTAAAACACGTGTAGGAAGAATAACCTGGCATTGATTCTGTTCAATGCGTGAAGATACACAGGTGTTGCTCTGCTACAGCTGTGAGATTGAAAAGGATGCTGTTACTATGAATGCTGTAAGCAAGCAAACAAAAGAAGCCCCAATGTGTTATGAATGATCTCAATGAAAACTTGCTATTTTCCAAAAGTAAAGGGAGCACATCCACAACAATGAAAGCCAGGTTTTTTTCAGACTTCTTCCCTCCTTCTTCGTTGTTCCGTTAGAGTGCATTTACATTCTCAGCCTGGCAAATGGGGCAGAGTGTATTTAATACAGCTCTGTGTTTTGGCTTTTGTGTTAAATACTTTGTTGCAGTTGAGTAATTAAGGTTGGTTTTCTCCTTTCATTTCCAGGTTATCTCTGGACTGAAGCTTACACGATTGTTTGCTTCAAATCAGATTCTGCCAAGTGAATGTCTCAGTTGCCTAGTAGAACTCCTTGAGGATGCTAATATAAGCCCATCTCTAACCTTGTCTGTGGTTACTTTGCTGTCACAGCTAGGTAAGGTTTACCTCTCTCATTGGAGTGTTTGCTGGACTTCAGTTTGGGCTCTCCAATGGCCTGGGCCTGTATGCATCAAGTTTCCCAATTACAAAATAGCTTCTGCTGCCTCTTGCTTGTTTCTGCTTAGCTTGGTAGCCAATGCACCTGTTGCTTTTGCTGTTAGATAGGTGATTTGTGTTGTTTTTAATAATTCTTAAATTCTAGCTTTAGACAATGAGACTAGAGAAACTCTTCAAGATACCTACAATCTGACCAGCGTGCTGGCAGGAGTGGTTCATCGAAGTTCTACTAGTCTTAGCGACCCAGTCTTATTACAGGTAATAAGAACTAATCCTTAATAATATTTGACTATAATTATGTAGAGTGCATTATACTGTATGCATATAAAAGCTCTTCTAAAGTGCTGTCTGAAATAATGTGTTGAGGGAGAGTTAATCTTAGCTGTGTGTTTTATTTGTTGTGTGAGGCTAGTATAACAGGATTATAATACTGCGTAGAGTTCTTTGTATTCTCTCTTTAATCCTGCTTGTGTTTCTCACCTGCTTAAATTAAAGGAAAACCAAAAACCAACAAACAAACGAAAACCAGCAACTGACCAAACAAAAGCTACCCTGTATTTTAAATTATTTCAAGAAATCACTGCTTGAGGGCTAGGAAGGTAACTTTCAGTTGAGGTATTTAGTTATTTCTCCTGATGTTCGTAACAAAAGCATGAACACTGATCATCTTTGTCATGTAATTGTGAAGGAATGAAAGGTGTTCAAAGCCAGGTTGGATGGGGCCTTGAGCAAACTGATCTAGTTGAAGGTGTCACCGCCTGTGGCGGGGGGTTAGAACTGGATGAACTTTAAGGTCCCTTCCAACCCAAGCCAGTCTACGATTCTCTATTAACTTAATGCAGTTATGGGCCCAAAGAATGCTGAAGGGAGGACTTTACTACTACTGGATCTGTTTGCAGTCTTTACAGCAAGCCTGTTTTCCTGTAAACATACTTTCTGTTAGAGGTTGCAAGGTACTTGTTGGATTTTGGTGTCACTTCTAGATCTTCCAATAGGGAAAAGCCCCTTTCTCACTGACAGAATGGAGAACTTGCTAATGAGGCAATGGGGAGAACTAAATGGATTAAAGGTAACTTCTCTGTCAAAATAAAATGGTATTAATCTGTTTGGGCTTTTACTGAGTGGATCGGTGTGGTAGGACATTACTCATTGTGCTTGCAGCAGTTTATGTAATTGTTATGTTAACATTAGAGAGTCTGAAAATTAATTTAGTGGTGGTGTCTTGTTATTTGTTCTTTCAGTTTCAGCTTTGTAACTTGTAACAGTCTTCAGTGATATGCTATAGGAAAGACATCTGTGAATATCTTTTTATTTCCTCAGAGTATTCAGTTGCTGCAGAAGCTAACCTACAATGTTCCTGTCTTTTCCGCTGGTGCCAACATTGATGAATTGATTTCATTTCTAACGCAGCATGTGTAAGCGTGTACTTGGTTGTCTTTTCTTATGGGAAATAGCTACGTTTCCAAACCTTTTTAAGGCCAGTAGCATATTACACTAACCTGGTCTCCAGAGTAAGATGTGGCTTTTTTGTTCTGAATTCTTTGAAAACCACGCTGTTACAGATTGCCAGCAGCAGTGATTATGGACCTTTGGGTGATTGAATATTAATTTGCCTCATAGGCCATCCCACACCTTTAGGAGCAGGGAGCTGACAAAGAGAAAAGCCAGAATAAAATTCATGCCTGTCATTAGGAGTAAACTTGTTAGATTAATACAAATTTTGTGCACATGTACTCATAAAAGGTCTAATGACTATTAAGCACGTGCAATAAATCATCTTTGATAGCATTGATCTTTGGTACTGGGGTTTGGGGTTTTTTTCAGATGTACTCCATTAAAAACTGCTCACGCTGTGGTGACTGCAGTTGGAGTTTTGCTTTGCTTAGTGGGATGGTATCTAATAAAAAAAACAAACAGAACCCCAAACCAAAACATCCTCCATACCCTCTGTCCCCCATGCTCCAACTTCTTGTAATTAAATTCTGGGTGCTTTAATGAAACCATACTTTCTTTTTTAAACTTCTGGACTTTGAAGTCAGCACACTGAAGATGAGTTAACGATACCGTGTTTGGGACTCCTGGCAAATCTCTGTCGTCACAACTTGTCTATTCAAACTCGGATAAAATCTTTGGTAAGAGTTTCGCTTTTGTGGCGTGATCGTCTGGCTTGGGTGCAAAAGACTTGACTTCTTAGGCGCTATTTTTTTGTGGCAGTAATAACCCTGGCCTGCTTGTTCTGCAGTGCTGGTGTGTGATCCGCACATGTTTGAGTAAAAAACCAGTAGCTCAGGAAACTGGGTGTTCTGTTTCTTTCTCTACATTGCTGTGTTGTTGCACTAGTTTGTGTTATGCGTTGAGTGCCTGCAGCTGTTCTCTGCAAATGAAAGGTGAATTTAAAATTTGAGCATTCTTCCTTAGAAGAAATAAATGTTCTTAACATAGAAAGACTGTAGTTGGATTTTTTTTTTCCATAAGCTGGGTTGGTAATTCTGACCAAGAAAGGGATTTGCCTTTTAAAAGACATTAAAACACCATTGATCATGATAAGCAGAGATAATGAGCACTGCTCTCTGAGCAGAGGAGGGACAGGGCTCAATTTGCAGTGGTGATTTTCTATTGGAGATTTCAGTACAACTACTTAATTTCAGTAAAATTAAATTAAAATAATGTGGCATTTCTTCCTTGGATGGTTTTGTTGTTTTGCTTGGGTTTGGTTTTGGTTTGTTTTTTTGTTTGCTTATTTTCAGTATTGAAGTTCAAAAGATAATTTAGTCATTGACATCAACACCAGTATTGGGCAGTATAACGTTAAAACACATTTCATAGAGAACTGTTATGGTTCTAATATGTTTTTTGTATTGTTCATTATTTGCATGGCTTATTTGTAAGTATGTGCTATCTGCAAATTTGGTGGTTTTTATAGAACAGAATTAAGTTTGTAATGCCTGTGTTTCTCCTTCTTGCTTTAGAATAACGTGAAGAATTTTTATCGTACCTTAATAAGCTTCCTGGCCCATAGTAGTTTGACTATGGTTGTGTTTGCACTTTCACTATTATCAAGCCTTACTTTAAATGAAGAAGTAGGAGAAAAAGTAAGTAATGTTTTGAATCTGTTATATTCCCAATTTGTAGGTAAAGCTAA